AGGTAGTTATGTCGTCGGTAGAACCGATGTAGAGTAAATCGTCGACGTAGACGATAAGCAGAATGTAGTTGGCGTCTTTGGTGAGTCGGTACATGCCTTGGTCGTGAGGCAGTTGACGGAATCCGATGCGGGTGAGGCGGGTGTGTAGGTGCTGTTGCCACAGCCGTGGGGCCTGTTTGATTCCGTAGAGCGATTTCAGTAGCTGGCAAACCTGATTAGGTTCCCCGTGGGTACCATGTGGGAGCTCAACGAAGATTTCGGCGTCGACGGGTGCGTAGAGGAAAGCGTTAGCAACGTCGATTTGCCGTAGTTTTCTTTTCTTCATGGCGGCGATCGCGAGGAGAATTCGGAGTGAGGTGTGTTGGCTAACCGGGGCGAATGTCTCGGTGAAGTCCCGTCCGTGTTCCTGATCGAATCCTCGCACGACCCAGCGTGCTTTGAACTTCTCGATTGTGCCGTCTGCCTTCGTTTTGATGCGGAAGACCCATTTCCCGGTGAGGATGGTCTTGTTCCTTGCCACGCTAACTGGAACGACTTTCCAGGTGTTCCGTTCCTCCAAGGCCTTTAATTCTCTGTCCATGGCTTCACGCCATTTCTCCCTGTGTTCCCCCCCCAGAGCCTGCTGAACCGTCGCAGGCTCTTCAGGAAGAGGATGGCCGTGGACTGCGGTGACGAGGCCGAGAATCTGCAGTCCAGTCTGTGAGTAGCGGGGGAGTGTTGTGTCATCGGGATAAGCTGCTTCATCTCCCGTTTCTGGGTCGGTTATAAAATTCGGTCCTATTCTTTCTGCTTCGTTGGTGTTGACTGTCGCAGGTGTTACGTAACCATTGTCGGCGAAGTGGTAGAAGACTTCGGCGTTGGCGCTTTCGCGAGGATTTTCTTCGTCCACGGGGACGTTGACGGAGCAGAACGGGAGGGGTCCGGCTTCTTCTGATGCGTTGTCGACGTTCTGCTCGTCCCAGTATGCTTCGTCCGCGGCTGAGGCGAAGGCTCGGTCACCACGAAAGCCACCTGTGGGGTCCTGATTTTCATGCAAGTTGGCGAGGTACGTCTGAAGCGTGAGTCCTTCGTAGAAGATCACATCACGTGCTGCTACTGTTTCCTTGGAGTGGACGTCGAAGATTTTCCACGCGTTGTAATTCTTTTCGATGCCGAGGTGTAGTCCCCACTGTGCGCGTTGTGAAAATCTTCCCGCTCGTGCTTCTGGGGGTCGGTACTGTACCATGCACCCGAAAACTCGTAACATTTTCGTGCTGCCTTGTTTCCCTGTCCACAGCAGATGCGGTGATGCGTTGTTCGGAAGTGAGGACGACGACGTCAAGTTGTGCAGCATGACAGCATGGTCCATTGCTGCAGGCCACTGGTGGTTGGGTAGCCGCATGCCACGTAACAGTTCGCGCATGCTGTTCTGCAGAGTCCTGTTCATTCTTTCTGCGACACCTTGCTGCTGATGGGCGTAGGGAAGGGAGAGGAGTTGCTTGATTCCTCTTTCCGCCAGGTACTGCTTGAATCGCTGAGAGGTGTATTCTCCTCCTCCGTCTGACTGGAAGCTTTTCAGCTGTGCTCCCGACTCTCTTTCTGCTACTGGTAGCCAGGCGGCGAACGCTGCGAGTGCCATGTTGCGGCTGGGTAGATTTAGATGCCAGACGTATCGAGTGGCGGTGTCGATGAAGGTAATCGTGTAGTTGTAGGTAACTTGTCCTGGTTCTCGATTGAAGAGAATATCGCTGTACACCTTCTCGAGGGGTGTGTACGCGGGTGCGCTCGGGTTGTGATGAGGAGTGAACGGTCGATGTGGTAAGTCGGCTTCGGGGCAGGTAAGACAAGTCCCTCGTGCCCGTTGGAGTTCTCTGCCGTCGGGTAGTAATAATGAGTCCTTGTCTAGGACTCCTGCGCTTATCGTGTTATTTAACACTGTGTTGCTTGGATGTCCCATTCGTGCATGCCATATGTCTTCGGAGGCGCGGTGTCCGAGTGAGCGTCGATACGCGTCTGAGTTGGAGTAAAAGCTGGCAACGAAGTTTGCGCTTCTGTGGACTTCTCGTTGAGTTGGTTTCAACTGCTGTGCGGGTGTTGGTGGTGTTTCGTTGACGAGGACTGGTGTCGTTGGTCCTGCTGCTACTGCCGATGTTGTCTCTGCTGCTGCCGATGATGTTTCTGCTGCTGCCGATGACGTTTCTGCTGCTGCCGATGTTGTTTCTGCTGCTGCCGAATGTTGAATTGTTGCTAACGCGCGTGTTCTTTCTGCTTCAGGGATGGTGTGCGAGTACCAGAAGCCTTCCGGGCTGAAGTCCGGATCAAGATCCGGAGGATGTGTCCAGTCGGCGAAGTTCACGATGGCGTCGCTGTCTGCAGTGCCCAGGTCTGGGACGAAGTCTAGGACGAAGACGTTGTTCTTCAAGACCGCCTTCCCGATGTAGAGGCCGCCTTTCCCGTGGTATAATTTGAACTCCTGGGTGGTACTGTTGGCTTCCAAGTGAATGCCTTTCGCCATCAACTGGCTGACGCTTAGTAAGTTGTAGCCGAGTCCCTCCGCGATTAGTACCTTTGACATATGCAGTATAACATTTGTCTCTCGTGACTGAAGTTGTACTACTCCTTACCGTCGTGTGCGCAGGTTCTGGTTGTTGGCGACTGTGATGACAACCTCTCGTTGAAGTCGATGTTCGCGTTGGACGAAGCGTCCCGAAGAGCACATGTGCTGTCCGCAGCAACTGTCCAAGAACCATGTATCTTTCCCGGACGGTTCGCTTTGAGCAATGGCGGCGTACGTCGGGTTTGGTTGAAGGGATTCGCGGCGAGGCGTGCTGTTGTCGAGTTGCTCTTCTGGTGAGTAGTATGGTGGTGACTCGGTTGTGCAGGAATCTTTTATCTTTACCATGCAGTTGACGATGTTTCTTGCTTTTTGTGCAGGTTGTCCTGTTGGAGTCGTTGAAGCTTGGACTGAAGGTGTCGGGGTAGCTTGTGTTGAAGTGACTTGGCTGCTCGAAGGTCGAAGTTGTCGCTGTGGTGTTGTCGATTGATGACGATACGGACAGTGCGTACGAGGATGCCCTGAAGTCTTGCAGATGTGGCAAAACGGAGGTACTGGCTTCGGTTGTTGTTGCTGTCGACTGTTGTTGTTGTTGTAGCGTCGCTGGGTGTGAAATGCAAACTCTGGTACTGACGTTTTCTTCTTATGCCGTTCTTCTTGCAGGTCCATGTCCTGCTGCTCGGCATGGATTTCGGCGCAGAGTGTTGCTTCGGAGATTCTCCCGTGTGCTCGTAGTATGGCGCGAGTGGAGCGCCAGTGAGGGCCGAGACCGCCGATGACAACCGTGACAAAGGCGTCTTCTGAGATCGATCCCCCACATCGAAGAAGCCTGTCGCGCAGTTCGCGGCAGCGACTGATATACTCCATGCCCTTCTCGCCTGGTTTCATTTCTATTGTTGTCAGCTGCGCCATTAACCGACTTTGGTTTACACTGTCTGTTGCTTGATACAGGTTCTTCAAGTGGTTGTACGCGAGCTCCGCGGAGTTACCGTAACCTCGGTAAGTCCTTATGTTCTGCTGTTGGGTCGGGGTGATGTTCCTCAGTAGTATTGTGTACGCCATCATCGATTGATAGGTGTACTGCTGCTTCTCATACTGTGTGCCGTTTGTTGGATATGGCAGGGACCCGTCGAAGAAGCCAAGGATCTGCGCTCCTTCCATCATCAGCTCGAATTCGAACGACCAGGTAAAGAAGTCCTTTCCGTCAAAAGGCTTTGTCGTTTGTAGTTTTAGAACATGCGCGAATTGCGACTGAACTTGTAATGCGTCCAGCGCTCTCTCTCGTCCCGGTGCAGGTTGTGGTTGCGGCATGAAGCTGACAGAGCCGCGCTGGGGCTCGTACGGAGCGAAGGTAGGTTGTTGATGTTGATTCCCGCGTGCGTAGGATGAGCCATCGAGACTCATGGGTGTCACGTTGTTGTTGTTGTTGCTGTTGTTTGATTGCGCAGGTACTCCTTGCTGGTGCTGCTCGTAGAAGGACATGAAGGAGAAGAATTTCTCCATCATGCTTGGATCGAAGCCCGCGCCTTGGTTTGCGGGTGTTTCCGTAGACCCAGCTGCTGGTCTCGTCGTTGTCCCTTCCTCTGTCTGTAGACCAGAGGCAGGAGGTGGAGTAGGGGTAGTACCGGGAGAGCCGTTGGAGGAGCTCCTCTCCTTTCTAGCAGACATGTCTTCTTGATGTATTGAGTGTTAAAAAATAGTAACTTTTAACTCTAACTGCTCTCATACCATGTTGGACTGAAAAGCCCTAGGATCTTTATAGAGTTAAAGTCTGAGTAAGTGATGTAATAGCGGAAGCGTTGAATAAAGTCCTTGAACCACCTTGCGCTAGTATGTGAGGGCAAAGTACGTTGATTAAAGCAAAGAGATACAGGAATAAATATATGAGTACGAAGAATATGAAGAGACATTATGACTACTTTACTGTTGCGGTTCGATACAGTGCGACTCGGGCAACTGCTCAATGTCGAGTCAGTTGTGTGTCCTTGCTGTGGCGCTGCGTCAGGTCAAAGGTCGCTGACCTTTGACTTTCTCGTAACCTCCAGCGGTTACGTTAACTTCCGAGGGTTGACTCGCGATGCTTCGATTTGAGCTGCTTCGCTTGTGTCTTGAGTTCTGACACGACAGAGGCGCTTAAACTATTTGTTCCCAACATATGCCAGGAGATGCACCACCAGGGTCTGTTGAAGATAGGATTTCATGCATGCAGACTCGGGAGTGAATGATGGTCACAGAGGCTGATGGAATGAAACAGGTGCACTGGTACCACTTCTGGAAGAATTATAACACTATTGGATTGACTACACAAATGCCATGACTAAAGATGCAACATGAAGCATGACTACATCCATTACAATCAGCCCTATGGCATCAAAAACATACTTCGGCGCAAACAAGGACCACACCTGCAAAGCAATAGATTACTTGATGTTATCAGCAAGTTAGGAATCTCAAATAGAAAAACATTTCAGTGCTGCTGCTTGATTACCATAAGGTGGCGTCGCATCCCAGCAACAAATGCTGTAGTTGTGAACGTAGCCATCACTCGGGGGAAGAGGAACAACAAAAAAGCCTGCATGGGAGCAGTGGTTGCAGAGAGGGCGTGCCATTTTGAGAAAACACACACGGTGCACAAGAATGGACTGGACAAGTGCTTACCTTCATTGATATTTGTGTCAGCGAGTCCAGAGTTCGTGGATGTGCCAGTAATGCCAAAAGAGGTATGGCGAGGGCTGGTATGAGGTGGGAGAAGCCAAACGTGTCTAGCGCTAGCAAGCCTCCCTGGCGATGGTACTGGAAGTCATTGAACCTGCAAAGAGAAACATCAATTGCCACTTGAACCAGCTGTCGATGGTACTTCGGGTGGGAAAATGCGGAGAATGCGACAGAAAACGTACCCAGTAAAGGCAGCTGTGTACCTCAATCCATCAAATGTGCACCTGGCAAGACACAAACAAGCTTATGTCAACAAGATACAGGATATAGAAAACAGAGATAGTTGAAGCCGGAATGCAAGAGGAGCGTGAAGCAGGAAATACAGAAGAGTATCACCCACAAATACTCACGCATGGCCTGAGGCAAAGAAGAGGAGGAAGGAGAGCAGGCTCCACTCAACACAGCACAGGATGAATGATGGGACTGAGGCATGGCTGTGACTCAAGCTGAGAAAGAGCATTCCTGTCGGTGTAAAGGAAAGAGCATGGGGAATGGGGCAGGCTCGCAGTGAGTGGGAAGGCAGAATGGAAAAAAGAGTAAGAAAAAGAAGAAGGAAGCAAACAGAAACTCCCAAAAACCCAACTAAAAAAGAAGCAGCAGTGGTTACTGTGTAGGCTGGCTTAGAATCAAAGCCATGTCGCTGTGTTGGCAGATTCTGAGGAGAGCAGCCACATACCTTGGAGGGCGCCGAGCAGCAGAATTACGGGGATGGACCGACCACCGACGAGTATAATGGGCACGCCAAACAGTCCAATCAGATGAATGAGGGTACGGCCAAGCTTCTGCTCCTGCGCTTGCTGCTGCTGCCGCACACCATACCCAGGAAGCTGCTGTGGCATTGAAACAAGACCATTGTGCTGCTGCTCAAATTCTGGAGCCTTTTCAGCAGTCTGCACCACACCATCCTTCTTCTTCTTCCTGCTCTTCCCACTCCCCTCGTGCTTGCTTCCGCCAGCAACAGGAGCAGCAGGAGAAGCACGTATCAGGAGAATTTTGGAGAGAAAGCGGCAGAAGAATCCTGTAGCCAGCATGAGGAGAGTGAGGGCTAAGAAAAGGAGCGAGGAAGCGAAGACAAGGCGGGGGATGCCCAGTTGTATAGCCTCTTGCAAGGAGGAAACTGGGACCATTGATCTGAGGTATGCTTGACGCTGCTGCTGCTGCTGCTGCTGCTGCTGCTGTGGTTGTTGTAGCAGAGAGTAACCAGAGAGGAATGAGAGGGATGAAGGCGAATCATGGAGCAACCAGAGGAAGGCAAGCAATACGTAGCCGACCCACATGCCCAACTGTGGTACAAGGGCAGCTAGTGAAAAAAACACCTGCCCGAGCTTGTCTATTGCTGGCTGATGATTTGAAGTTTGAGTGGCTTTAGTGGTGGATGGCTGGGTGAAGGGAGGGGATCGACGAAGGGCGGAGAGGAGGGAGGTCGAGAGAGTGTGGAGGAGAAGGGGAACTAGAAGCAGTGGCGCATAGGAGAGGAGTATGGAAGGAAGGGCATGGAGGAACTGGGAGGAAGAGAGGGCTCCTAGGGCTGCTGGTCCCGGGGAAGCAGCAGGGGTAGCTGCATCAGAAGCAGAAGCAGAAGCAGCTTCAGCAGAAGCAGTAGCAGCATCGGCAGCAGTAGCAGCTGTCACATCCGCACTTGCAGCCGCCTGGTTGGAGAGCTTGTGAGAGGCGGAGAGACCCAGGGCAATGAGCAAGGCGTTGACTAGGAGCAGAGAGGAGGCCTGCAGTGAGGAAAGGATAGGGGAGTTTATGACGAAGTACGGAGGTATGGGAAGGGATAGGGCGGCATGGGAAGGGATAGGAGAGCTTGTGCGAGGCGGAGAGACCCAAGGCTATGAGCAAGGCGTTGACTAGAAGCAGAGAGGAGGCCTGCAGTGAGGTAAGGGATAGGGGCGCATGGGACAGGAAGGGAATGCGAACGCCTGAATTGTTACTACTACTTCAGTTTTTACTCTAGTTCTACTCCTGTAGTCCTCCTTCAACACAATTTCTACACTGGTAACACACCCATCCCATGCATGTGATGTTTAGTGAGCAATGCGACTCTAGCTTGCTGAAACTTGAACCCTCTACCCCAAATGAACCACTTAATATAGGCCAGCGCAACAGAGGAGAAGGCGGAAGGAATATCTATCGAGAAACGCACTGCAGAGAAGCACAATGCAGAAGCACACTGCAGGCATAGAGAAATTCCAGGAGTACGAGGGAGGTTCCAGTGGGGCACCTGCACAACGCCCCTCCAGCTGCCCGCCACAAGGGACTGCCGGAGGTGAAGCAGTGCTGACGTGGCCAGCAGGAAAGCCGCCACGTGTCCCTCCGCCACTGGGTAAGCCAGGGGAAAAAAGAGGGGAATGCAGGGAGAGGGGGAGGGGAAGGAGGATGGGGAGGTAAAGACTATGCATGGCAATAGGCAAAACTAAAGAGACGATATGTTGAAACTTAGCAAAACCGCCAGGCACAGGGTTTTTAGCGAACTGACAGGTTTATCAAATCACGCAAGGGAAGTGGTGTGAGAAGGGAAAACGAGCGGCAGCCAAGGTAGGGAGCAATGGCAGCATGCGAGGGAGGAAGTGAGGTAGGAAGGGAGTGAGGGAGAGAGGGAGAGAGGGGGAGAGGGAGAGTGAGGCAGGGAGGAAGTGAGGGAGTGAGGGAGTGAGGGAGGGGGTGACTGAGTGAGGTAGTAAGTGTGAGAGCGTACTTATGAAACTGTTGGAGTTGAGACTAAGTGAGTGCATGAGCACCATCACCACCGCCCACAGCACCATCCAAATTTGCCCTTGACTAGAACCGCCGCCCGCACCACCAACATTACCACTTGCAGCAGCACTGCCAACGACACCACCACCAGTGGCAGACGCAGCAGCATCACCATCGCCAGCACGAGCAGCAGCAGCAGCAGCAGCAGCAGCAGAAGAAGACCCGGAACCAGCAGCACGAGGAGCGATCCACCAAAGAATAAGCAGCAGGTGGAGAACAAGGGAGAGGAGGAGGAGGGCGAGAGCAGAGAGCATTGAAGTGATGCCGAACTGAGTCCATTGGGATCTAGCTAGGGCTGCAGCACCATCGAGATAGGCGAGATGAGCTTGGATGGAGGAGATGAGAGAGGAGGAGCGGGAGGGTGTGCGAGAGGAGGAGAGAAGGGGGGTGGCTGTGGATTGTGCGTGTGTGTAGAGTTGTTTCAGGTGAGTGAAAGGCTGGTGCGGGAAGGGCGAGGGGGCTTCGTTGGAGTAGCGAGAGAGATAGCGATGCACCTGGGGCGAGACGAGGGAGGCGAAGGGGAGAAGAGGGTAAGAGAGAAGGGAGGGGGTGGATGGAGATTTCGATTCTGAGAAGCCTCAAACAAAGAGATAGGGATGCACTTGCATCGAGAGGAAAGGAAGGGAGTGGATGTGGAGAGAAGGGGAGGAGACGAGAGGAGAAGAGAGGGAAGGAGCGGGGTGGGAGACAGAAAGGAGAGGAGATAAGAGGGGAGCGGAGGGGAGGAGAGGGAAGGGGACGAGTGGGGAGAAAAGGGGAAGACACCCCATAACTCCACCCCATACCCCCAACCATACCCCCACTCCATACCCCCACCCCTTCCCCCACCCCATACCCCCACCCCAATACCTCAAACCATACCCCCACGCCATACCCCCACCCCATACTCCCACGCCCTGCGCACCTGCCATGCGTTCATCATGAGAGCAGAAGAGAGGCGGGAGAGGAAACGCACAGCTGGATCTATTTTGCTGCCTTCCTCAGTGCGATTTTTTAAGTTCAATTCTGTGTGATTGCATGTGGGTGCTGGTGGTTGCAGTGGTTCCCAGGCAGCAGGGGAGAGTGCGAGCATGTGCGGGTTGACTTTGCCCACGCTGCAGTGATGGGGGAAAGAGGGAAGGGAAGGGGAAGGGAACACGAGTGTGTGAATGGGGAGCAGAGAAAAGGTTAGAGAGAACTTCAGTGGGAAACAAGCTGAATATGGTTCCCATATTAAGTCGAGTGGAAAATGATGTGGTTATGAGATTATACAGAAAGAGGCGCAGGGGGAAAGCGTGAAGGGAAGAGAGAGCGACAGAAGGAGAATGCTAACTGGTGAGCAGGAAAGAGGTGGGCAAAGGGCAATAGTAACAGGTGAGCAGGGGTTTGTGCATGCATACGGAAATGCTATACATGCACACAGGGATGCATGCACACATACACGCACACAATGGTACAGGCACACATAGACATGTGGAGTTGTGCTCTGCGTTCTTGGGAGTTCTTTAGAGTGGAATGAAGAGCACTCAGAAACACAAAGAACCTCTACCTGGCGAAGGGGATGGGAGCACCCAGAAGCACGGAGAGTGTTGGAGTGAAATCAATCTGCACAAGGAGAGAGAAAGGGGATGCATTTCAACGCAAGGGATGTTGGCCACGTGCAAGGCACACACACATGCCATGAGCGCTGGAAGAGAGTTCAATCAGCACAACAACAGACGGAACGCTCACATGGCAGCATGTGCAAAGGAGCCAGGTGGGTGGGGTGAGAGGGGTGGGAGGGGAGGGGACCACCACCAGTCACATGCCCATACCCGCCTCCCTTTCACTCCCCTCTCTTGTCCTCCACTAGTACCACCCAACTGTGCTCTCCCCTCCCGGGCTCCCCTCCCCTTTCCTCCCCCACCACCCGGTTATCCCTCTAGACGCCCACCTGCGGCAGCTCCTCAAAACATTCCTTTTCACCACCGCCAGCCCTTTGCGCCATGTCCTTTTCCCCTGCTTGCTCCTGCGGCAGAGCGGGAGAGGCGAGAGCGAATGCGGGGGGTCAGGATAGCACCCACCCAGAAAGGGGTATTATCATTTTTGAAATGTTTGGTGTGGTGATGGGGCAATTTGAAGTGCGAGGAGTGGTGAATTGAGACAATGATAAAAAAGCGTGATAGAAAAGCAGTGTGATTGATTGTACCTGAACACTGAGACAGGATGGTGGGGTTTGTGAAAATGTGACTTGGAAATACATGGCAGAGTGGGGTCAAGAGTTTGGGAACCCACGGTCAAGATTGTCAAGTGTTAATGAGACTTGGTTCAAGAGAGTAGGACGTACAGGGGAGGGGCAGGCAGAGAGAAAGGCAGGCAGTGGGTGTGGTGGTGGTTGCATGGAGACTGCGAGGAGGAAGGCATGAGCCTGGTGGGCAGGGAGAGAGGGCACAGGATGGATGGAGCAGGGAGTGCATATGTTACTCCTGAGATTTGGTGTGTGAGGTGGGAACACATGCAAGCTCGCCAGACGAATGCACATACGCACACATGCAGAGTAAGCACAAAGAAACACAGGCATTCCTTTGGGAATGCATGCACCCATGCACAGACAATCACAGCAAAGATGATCCAAACACGCGCACCTCTTCGGGAGTGCCTCCCCCATGGTCCCCTGTGAGCGTCTGCCCATGGTCGCTCATGAAGAGCAGCAGCGAGCGCTCGTGCCTGCCGCCCCTGTGTGCCTGCGCCTTCATTGCTGCCACCACGTCCTACCATGCCCCGTAGAAGTGCACACATGCATGCAGGGCCACATGCAGACATGCGAGCAGGCAGGCAGGCAGGCATGCAGGCATGCAGACATGAAGGCACGCAAGCACGCACAAATGCAGGTCATAGACGCATGAGCGTACACGAGTACAGAGCGAGCGTCATCTTAGAGAGAAGAGAGAGATAGGGATCGGGATGGTAAGGGAGTGGGAGCTGACATAAGAAGGGCTTGGATGCGGGAGTACACAGTGGGGTAGGGTCAGTTGATGGTGTACAGGAGTGTGGCTGGGGAAAATGATATGCGAGCAGAAGGGAGAACAGAATCGTAGAAAGTGCTTACAAAACGAAGGATGGATGGTATGGAGCAGAGGAAGTGGAAGCGCACTTGACAACGGAGGCAGAGGTAACTAGACGAGGAGGGGAGGGAGGCGATGGGAGCACAGGAGAGAACGTGTGAGAATGGCCAAAAGGGAGGGAGGGAGAGAGGGGTGGTACGAGCATCATTTGGTTCATCTGGTCGAGCTTGGTGTCCATGATGGGTGAGTCCACTGCAAAGGTGTGCCCCACGTGGTCCTGTGCGCGGGGAGAGGGAGGCGAGGGGTAGAAAGTGGGAGAAGTGGGAAAGAGGAACAGGAGAGCGAAGAAAGAGGGGGAGCAAGAGAGGGGCGTGGGAAATGGAGAAAACAATGGGGAATGGGAGATGGGGCTGTCCTGTCCCCATCCCAACCCCGCACCCGCCCCATACAATGCCATACCGTCCCAAGCAGCGCAAGCACATCCCGTAACCTGCCACATCTTACAAACAAGAACACTCGATTCCTCCCATCACCCATCACCCATCACCTAGCAGCAGCACCCAGCAGGCAGCAAGCAGCAGCAGTGAGCACTTTCCACTCACCACGCCTAGGAAGTGGCCGATGAGGAGGTCCCAGTCATCCCGGTTGAGAGCTGGGAATATGTTGGCCAACACACCGTCATCCACCTGTGGCACTCATTGCAGCACACCGTGACACATGCAGCAATGGGGCACGGAACGGACACATGCAAACAATGCCGGGATTTATGAGCCTGGTATTGACTTGACGCGCCTCTGCACGTCCAGCGGAACATACCAAACAAGCAAGCGCCCCCACACACACACACTCACTCACTCACTCACTCACTCACTGTGTGGATGTCCTTGACCACGAGGGAGGGGAAGGGCGTGGATCGGTTGAAGGCGGAGGGGAAGACGTCCAGCCATGTGTCATCGCCCATCATCTCCAGGCGCCTCCCCACGCTCAGCAACTGCGCCCATGCACGCATACACACATGCACACATGCGCACGACACAGGACCGTCAAGAGTTAGGAGGTGGGAGGGTGATGGAGAGGAGCGGGGTGGTTTTGAGGGTATCAGGATGGAAATCATCAGGGAGGTTATGAGGGAACTGAGGGCTAGAGCAAGGGGTGTGTGTGACAAGAAAAGGCAAGCATGGTGGAGTATGGATGGGCGATGGGACAGTGCAGAGTGGTGAAGTGTTACATAGAGTGGGCCATGCAGGGAGCGTGGATTGTCCTGTGCGATGTATCCTATAAAGAGGCACAATAGGACCTTAAAAATATGAATCTTAGAAACACCACAGGACACTTCAAAACACCTCAGAACCACCACGAAACACCTCAGAACACTGCATAACACCTCAGGATACAGCACAAAGAAGGCGCACTTCTAGATATTACTCTGGCTCACCTGGAAGAGCAAGTTGTCCTCTGTGATGGTGTAGCTGCCGAAGCTGCTGCCCACGTCAATGAACGTGGGCAGTCCACCCGTTGTCAGCCCCTGCATGCATGCACGTGTGTGGTGTACGCACTTCAATCGACCAAGCCACGGTTGCACGAAACACATCATGATTTGCTTCTATGTCACGATGCCGATGAGTGTCATGACATTGCGATGGGCATGCATGCATGGCGGTGTGACGGGTGCGTGCCAGTCAACGCAGGTGAATGCGGGTCAAGATAGAGCGCATGCATGGCATGAACTCCGCATGCTTTTTCCCACTCATCCGCCCATCCACCCATCCACCCATCCACCCATCCACCCATCAACCCATCCACCCACCCACCCTTCCACCCTTCCGCCCAAGCACCAACCTTAATCCTCTGCAACGAGGTGGTAGGAGGGTCGGCAGTGAATCGGAAGAGAGCAGCACCATGCCCCATAGATTTCACTATCTCCCCCACCGCCTTCAACCGCCCTATCCACGATCCAGGCCGCCCTGAATGCGTATGGCGAATCAGGAAGTGGAACCAACCAGGAATGCGTTGGGAAGGAGACGAATGAGAATGAGAAGAGGAGTATGAGAATGAGAATGTGGGGGCGCGGGGAGGGGAAAGGGAGGAGGGGGAGGGAGGGACGATGGTGGAAAGAGCGGAGAAATTAAGAGAGGGTGAGAGGGAGAAGGAGGAATTTGGTTCGTGAAGTGCAGGGGACTGGGAAAGGAAGTGCAGGGGGGGGGGGTGTCTTGCTTGCCTTGGTTATAGCTGGTGGTGTTGGCGACAAAGTCGAACCTCGCAGCATCAATCACGACAATCACAACCTTGTCATACAACGCATTCAGACCCCCTCCATCTTGCTCAAAGTCCTCGGTCCTCTGAGAATTCCGATCCCCGTCATTCCCGTGGATCCCGCATTCGCCTCTTCCAATCCCCTCTCCAGAACCTTTTTTTCCTCCAGTTTCCCCGCCTTCTCCTCCGTCTGTGTATTTCAGAAATTCCCCAGTACCCGATCGCCACGCCGTGCGATCTGCAGGCGTGCTTCGGACTGATAGCTCCACGCGCGTGAGGAGGAATCCGCGAGTGAAAAGCGCAATGGCTGCTGCATGCAGCAGCAGCAAGAGGAGGAGCACCGCCGGGAGAGAGATTGGTGAGGTGCGGTGGAGAGAGGCGGGAAGGGATGCCATGCTGGTTTGCTGGTGCTGATGGAAATGAGGGACACGAAGGACAGGGTTCGTCCAGGAAAGCACGGACTATCTGCGAAGGAGAAGTGGAATCGCGAGTAAATGGCCGTGCCAAAAGAGTTTCATGTTCGGTGAGTAATTCGTAATGGTGGTGAGCATAAAGCGAGATTGTGCTGGGTCCTGGTCAGATCGACAATCAAGGAAGCAGAACTAAGAGTGGGAATCTGACATCGTCCTCCAAAATTCAAATGAGTCCACATTGGTTGGATGAAAGGTCGGCAGCAACAGCAACATCGAGTTTCTTTTTAGTTCACCTCTGGTGGAACAAGAAACACTTTCACATGCATCAGATGCCCTAGGAACCCCATCTAGAGCAGGGGCCTGTCCTTTGTTCCTCAAGCACAGTTACGACAGTTTTCCATGTGGCACGTGTTTTCACACGTTCGCTACGCGAGGGGCTGCTGCGAGCCACATGAGGGTATGCCGGGCGGCTGAGGCGGAGAGGCGCGCGCAGGCACTTGCCTCGATCCCGTCTCTGGTGGAGACCGACACGCAGGAGAGACCAACGCCGCGGGAATTTGGGGACGTGGTGTGGGCCGGGGTGACGTCATGGGAGTGGGAAGCATTTTTCAGTGTGGAGGTGGTTGGTGGGAGGACAGTGCGCCGGATCCCACAGCGGGCCCAGTCGGAGGACTTTGATGCGCTCCGTTGCATCTTAAAGCAACTACCGGGGGATGAAGCCGCTACCCTCCTGCTCTTGGCGTTTCCGCGCCTCATCCTAGCCGTGCCTCCCAAGCCAGGCACAGGTCAGAAGGCGCTGATCATAGAGCGGCTGGGGGCGTTCTGGGAGGGGAGGTGGCGGGAGCTGTTCGACTCGGCCATGGTGGCGGCGCGGCCAGCAGTTCGCCCACTTGCCTACACTTGCTCCGACCAGGTTCCGGATGCCATCCGCCTGTCACGGTGCCGAGCTCGGTGTAAAGTGGGGGAGTGGAGCCGCGGATTGGCTTGCCTTACAGCAGGAGAGTTGGCTCGACCGTCTAAGGCCATGGTGCAGTCACTGCGAGAGAAGCACCCTGCTAGCACTTGCGAGGTACCACAGTGGGTCCGTGATTTTACCGTCGATGCTCCTCAACGGCCTCCACTCACGACCGACATCCTGGCCAGAGCTATCCACACAGCCGCTCGCGCTTCAGCAGCAGGGCCATCGGGGTGGGTCACAGAGCATCTGCGCGACACCTTCCTCACTGAACCTTCCTGCCTCTCCCACCTGTTGGAAGTGTTCAACCAATGGGTGGCGGGACAGGTCCCTGAGCGGGCTCGGCCCTGGCTCGCCGCATCCAACCTAGTTGGGATTTCTAAGCCCAACGGCGACGTCCGGCCAGTGGCGATTGGTGAGGTGCTTCCGCATATCCTCGCTAGAGCTCTCTGCATCTCGCTCCGACCTGCAATGGCTTCCTACTTTCTGCCGTGCAACCAGCTGGGAGCAGGCACCGGGGCCGAGGTGGAGATTCTTACTCATTCATTCCGGTCAGTGCTGGCCACTCACCCCGACTGGTGTGCGCTGCAGATAGACGTCGCGAACGCCTTCAACTCTTTTCACCGTCGATGTTCGAGGGGCTGCGGGAGTCGCCTTTCTCGGGGTTGATCCCATTTTTACGTGTTTTCTACGGGACACCTAGCGACCTGTACCTCCGAGCGGGTCCCTTTGTACAGAGCCTTGAGTCGGCACGCGGCAGGGGGACCCGCTCGACCATTTTCTTTTCGCGTTCACGCAGCAGCAGGTGATGGAGTCGGTGACTAGAGAGTTCAGGAATCTACTGTTCTTGAGTTATGCAAACGATACTTATATTCTGGGACCAGCGGCTAGGATTCTAGAGGCTTTTGGGGTGCTGCGGGAGCGGTTGGAGTGGGTGGGGCTGGAGGTGCAGGCGCACAAGTGCCGGTTTTGGGAGCACGAGGGCGGGGATGTGGAGCGGGCACTGCCATTGGGGATGCAGCGGGAGGAGGAGGGTCTCACTGTGGTGGGCGTGCCTATTGGGGAGGAGGATTGGGAGGTGGTCCGGTTACGGAAGCGGCTTCGAGAGTTGCAGGCACCACTGCTATGGCTCCCCCTGCTCGACCACCCCCATATGGCGTCACATCTCCTTGCCATTGCAGTCTCGGCATGGCCGATGTACCTGGCCCGGACTATGCCGCCACGTCCGAAGGTGGTGGAGGCCTTTAGAGATTGGGATAGCTGTCTGGAAGATTGCTTCGAGCAGCTTTTCCCACCTGGCACTTGGGAGCAGGACCCCGACCGGTCAAGGCGAGCACGCATGCAGCTGCATCTCCCTGTGCGACTCGGGGGGGGGTTGGGATCCGGACGGCGACCTCTTTGAGCCCGCTCGCGGGATGTTGCACAGTTGGGGGTGGCGGGCGACGAGGCGATGTTTGGAGAGTACCTCACCACTTCGGCGGGGGTGGAGTTTCTTGACCCGTGGTTTGCCAAGGCTGTTGAGCAGCTGCCTACGACTATATGCCAGGAGATGCTGGACTTACCTCTGTGTGTAGCGGTCCCTCCCCTTCGGCTTTTCCAGGCGCGGCAGCGGCAGTTGGCTGTTGAGGAGCTCCAGGCACTGCGTCGTTCGGGTCGTGACGATGCCACCCTGGCTCGTTTCACATCCCTTCAGGGCCCGGGGGCTGGTGCATGGGTTTCGGCAGTTCCGGCTCACTCAGATCTCACATTCACTACGGCTAAGTGGGGCATTGCTGCTGCAATACGGCTCGGGCTCCCAATTCAGCAACTGCAGGTGGCGGGGAGGTGTGTGTGTGGCACAGCGCATGTTGACCCAGCAGACCCGCATCATGCCCTGAGATGCAAGCACCAGCACGGTCCATCTCGAGTGCATGATGAGGTGAAGTTTGCGGTGGCGAGGATTTCTAAGGCGTCAGGGGGAGTGGTGACGATGGAGGATAGTGCGATGCTGCCGGGGAAGCGGATTGACGTAGCGGTGCGACGACTGATGGCCGGAGAGGCTCACGCTGTGGAGATCAGCGTCGCGGACCATGTATCGCTGTCTCCGTCCCTGCTAGGGCAGTGTGGGCGTTCCATAGGTGTGGCGGCAAGGGAGTGGGAGAGTCGCAAAGCGAGTGATTACGCGCCTTTGCTTGCACGCAACCGGGGCGTGCAGTTTACCCCTTTCATAGTAGAGACGTGGGGGTGTCTCGACGGATAGCTTCCGGCGGTGGCTTCGACAGCAGGGGGATGCGCACGAAGGGCTAGCTGTGTCACGGAGGGCTTGTAGGGAGGATGACACTTCGTTTTCAGCTTGGGGTCTCTGAAGGCGCTCATCGGGGTGGCGTTGCAACGGGCGCAAGCTTGTGTGATCCTGCTTCGGGCGGCGTCTTCCATGGGGGGGATGAATGTGGATTTGGTGGACCGGGAAAAGGACGACATCGAGGTAGAGGGTGGGGCTCTTTGGGTGGAGGCCCCGTACATGGTGGATGCGCGGATGTGACTTGGGGGAGGGGGGGGGAATTAGGGTGCGGGATGGGGTGTCTCGATGGGGTGTCCTGACTGAATGTTGCGATGGTTATGTTGATGGGGCTTTTTATGCGGGTTGCATTTGGAGTTTTGTTGGCACTTTCTTCTCCTTCTCCCTTTCATTCTCCACCTCATTTCTCCTTCATTTACGGTATGTCTCTCTTTCCCTTTTTCCTCACATTTGGTTTTCCCTTGTACTCATATGATATTTCTGGTTACGACAGTTTTGGTAGTATGCGCTGGTTCCTTCGGTGTATACTTATCAATAATCATATAAAACATGCATCAAATGCAAGAATATTGATAACCTACTAGCTGAGAAAAGTACGAGGACAGCCCGGAAGACGTCAACGAGCGAATGTTCAGATAACAAGGCCGCTATGGCGACGGCTTCAAGTCGTTCATGACCATGCATGGGGCGGTTGCGGTCAGCAGGGAGAATGACCGAGTTAAAGTCTCCCACAAGCATAGTTGCAGATGCAGCTGAAGGAGCTTCCAGCATCGGGGCAAGGCATGAGCGCCACCATGGGCGTCTATCAGTGGCTTGAGGCGGGGCGTATAATGCGATGAGCCGTATTTGTTCGTGATGAAAATTGACGTCGACGGATAGGAGACGTCCATCCGTTGATGTTGTATAGGAGTAAGAGAGATTGACTTATTGAATACAAGGATAGAGATACTGTGTAAATGAGTAAGCAGGAATTGGATGAACTATGAATGAAAGCAGTACAAATATGAAACCCTAACTGGGTTGTACCCCCTATGGGATACCCCACTACAGCCTACACAGCAGTATAAGCTATAGATATGTTCTGACAGATACCTCCGGGGGAGGGGCGTGAGCCAGACGAGCGGGAGTTACCTAGGCGGGCTACGGTGTGAGCAGAAGCATGGGAGCGAAAGCGGAGGTCTAAATTTTTGACATTGTTGGTAAGGCGGGTGTGTCAAACTTATATACTACAGTCTTTCTAGGCTGTAGTGGGGTAGACTGTATGGGGTACAGCTCTCTAGGGTTTCATATTTGTACCCAACTCATTTTCTAGTTCATCATTCATTCCTCATTTCTTCACATGATATCAGAGCATGTTCCCTAGTGGGAACGCTTCCTAGGGCCCACCACTGAAATTCGATAATATTTTTTTTTTCCTGCCCGGAGCGCGAGTCGCCCCTGCCCGAGGCGCGCCCCGTGGGCTGCCCTCCCGTTGCGTCGCGCCCTCTTAGAGGCCCCTCTCACGGCCCCTCGCGTCCCCTTAGCGGCCCCGTCGCCGCCCTTAGCGGCCCCGTCGCCGCCCTTAGCGGCCCCGTCGCCGCCCCTTGCGGCCCTGACGCCGCCCATTGCGACCCTGTCGCCGCCCTTGTGACCCCGTCGCCGCCCTCAGCGGCCCTGTCGCCGCCCTCGGCGGCCCCGTCGCCGCCCACAGCGGCCCCGTCGCCGCCCCTCACGGCCCCGTCGCCGTCCTTGCGGCCTCGTCGCCGCCCTCAGCGGCCCCGTCGCCTTCCTCAGCGGCCCCGTCGCCGCCCCCAACGGCCCCCTCGCCGCCCCTTACGGCCCCGTCGCCGTCCTCAGCGGCCCCCGGCGCCGCCTTTGCGGCCCTGTCACCGCCCCTTATGGCCCCGGCGCCGTCCCTCGCGGCCTCGTCGCCGCCCTCTTGCGGCCCCATCGCCGCCCTTACGCGGCCCCGTCGCCGCCCTCTCGTGGCCCCAGCGCCGCCCTCTCGCGGCCTTGTCGCCGCCCTCTCGCGGCCCCATCGCCGCCCTTTCGCGGCCCCGTCGCCGCCTCTTGCGGCCTCCTCTTGGCCCCTCTTGCGGCCCCTCCCCGGCCCCTTCACCGGCCCAGCCGCCACCGCTCCTGCCCCGGCCCCGGCCGCCGCCGCCACTGCCGAGCTGCCGCCGAGCCGCTAAGCCGCCGAGCCGCCAAACCGCAGCAGCCGCCACCACCGTCGAGCCCCCACGGCCGAGCCGCCAACGCTGAGCCGCCGCCGAGGCGCCAAGCAGCCGAGCCGCCATCGAGCCGCCGAGCCGCCGCTAAGCCGCCGAGCCGCCACCGAGCCGCTGCCGCATTCGAGCCGCCGCCGCCTTCGAGCCGCGGCCAACCGGTCAGGTAAGAGCACTTCCGCGCAACACCTCTGCCACTGCCCTACCTCTAGCCTGCTGCTCTCACCGCTAGGCTGTTGCTGTCATGGCTACCCCCAGTGTCCTTACATTTGATGATGAGGGTCGGGCTGTTGACTTTGAGGTCTGGGTCGATGATCTGCAACTTTTCCTACAGTGCGATAGGGCAGACGGTCTCTCCCTGTTTGATCTCATGTCTGGTGCCTCTCCTGCCCTGCCTGCTAATGCTGACAGCACTGTTCGCTCACAGTGGGCAACACGCGATGCTGCTGCCCGTCTTGCTGTGCGTCGCCACCGACCGCTGAGCGTGCGCATTTTAGTCAGTACAAGAGTGCTAAGACCTTGTACGACGCTGTAGTTGCACGCTACTCTTCCCCTGCCACTGCTGCCCTTAGCCACCTCATGCTACCGTACCTGTTCCCTGACCTCGCCGCCTTTCCCACACTCGCTGACCTCATTACACACCTTCGCACTAGTGACACTCGCTACCGCGCTGCGCTTCCTGCTGAGTTCTGCGCCAAGAACCCCCCCCACCCCCATGTACATCACCCTCTACTACATAGTCACCCGGCTCCCTGACTCCCTTTGCTCGGTCAGGGACCACTTCCTCTCTGTTTGCCCCACCACACTCACCGTCGACCTCCTCGAGGAGCGCCTCCTGGCAGCAGAGAAGAGCATAGTCGCTGTAGAAGCCTCTCGTGGTGACCCTCGTACCCCCTTCTTTGAGGGGTGTTCCCCCTCCCCCCTCTTGCCCTCTGTTGCCTCTGCTGCTGCGGCCGACCTCGTCGGCCTCGAGTCGGTCGGAGCTGCGTCTGCCCCTAGCGGGAGACGCCGCACCGGCAAGGGCAAGGGAGGCAAGGGCGCTGGAGGAGCTGGCGGGGGCGGTGGAGGTGGCGGTGGAGGCGGTGGTGGGGGTGGGGTTGGTGGTGGGAGTGGTGGCGGGGGTGGGGGCGACGGTGGCGGCGGTGGAGGCGGAGGAGGCGGCGGCGGTGGCGGTGGGAGCGGAGGAGGCGGAGGTGGCGGCGGTGGAGGAGGTGGAGCCGGCAGTGGTGGAGCTGGTCGGGGCGTCTCTGCGCAGAGGGGCGGCTCCGGTGGTGGTCAGCGCCAGCAGCAGCAGCGCACTCGTGAGACCCCCTCCCCCCAGCAACTTCGTGAGTGGTACGCTGCTCGTCAACGGGGTGGGGGTGCTGGTCCCTGTACCTACGTCTTGCGCACCGGCGACCGCACGGGTGAGTAGTGCGGGGACCTGCACTCCATCCAGCGCTACTTCGGCCGTCTGACAGACGCTTGGCGTCACCAGTTCCCTGACGCCACTGAGATCCCTCGCTGGGGCGAGCTGTTTAGGGCGGGGGTTGCTATTTTTTATCTTGATTATGATACTATCCTTGCTGCTATGTATGATGTGTCTACTAGTGATGAGGGTGACAATTACATGTGTGTTCCGCCTCACCCGGGCATTAGGACTGCTGCTCTACGTACTGGTGAGGCTGCTGCTCTAGGTGCGAGTGCGTCTGCTGCCCCAGGTGCTGGTGAGTCTGCTCTCTCAGGTACCACGTCGGCTCAGGCCTCCCACACCTTCACCCTTGACTCGGGTGCTTCCCGCTCCTTCTTTCGAGACCGCACCACACTCACGCCGCTTAGTCGGCCAGTTGCGGTCTCCCTGGTAGACCCCTCTGGGGGTCCTTTCCTTGCCCACTTCTCTACTGTCTTACCATGTCCGGCGGCCCCCTCTGGCACCCTGTCTGGTCTTTACCTCCCCTTGTTCTCTACGAACTTGGTGAGTGGTGCTGATCTACAGGATGGGAGGGTTCACCAGTTCACTCCTGCGAGTCAGCGAGTGACCCACTGCACGTATGCTCGGACGGGCAGACACTTGGCCACGTTTACCCGTCGGCCGGGGTCGAGCCTGTACACACTGACTACTGAGTCTCCTCCGGTCGCTGAGTCTGGTCAGGTAGCTGCGTCGGGTCATGTGTCTGCTGCGGCGTCCAGGTCTGGTCTTGCGTCTGCCCCCTGCTCGTGTCGTCTCCTGTCTCACCAGACTCTCCTCTAGCACCACCGCCTTGGACACCCCTCCCTGCCTCGTCTCCGAGGCATGGCCTCCCGTGTCCTTGTCTCTGGTCTCCCCCGGTCCCTCCCTCCCCTTCCTCTGGGGCCTGCCCCTATCTGCGTTCCCTGCGTCGAGGGGCGGCAGCGCGCCGCTCCTCACTCCTCCGAGTTTCCTTCGACAGAGGCTCCACTGCAGACTCTTCACATGGACCTGTGGGGCCCAGCCCGCGTCCGTGGATAGGGTCATGAGCGTTACTTCCTGATGGTGGTTGACGACTACTCGCGTTACACCACAGTGTTCCCCTTGCGCAGCAAGGGTGAGGTCACTGAGGTGTTGATCGACTAGATCCGCGCAGCTCGTCTTGAGCTCAGAGAGAGTTTTGGCTCGGACTTTCCTGTTCTGCGTCTGCACTCCGACAGAGGCGGAGAGTTTTCCTCTGACCTTCTGCGAGCCTTCTCTCATGCTCGGGGTATCCGCCAGACGTTCACGCTTCCGGCCTCTCCACAGCAAAATGGGATTGCTGAGCGCCGCATTGGCATGGTCATGCACGTCGCTCGTACGTCCATGATCCATGCGGCTGCCCCCCATTTTCTTTCGCCGTTTGCGGTTCAGTACGCGGCGCATCAGATCAACCTTCAGCCCCGGGTCTCCATGCTGGAGACCTCCCCTTCTCTGCGGTGGACGCGGAAGGTTGGCGATGCGTCTGCATTCCGTATCTGGGGATCTCGGGCGTTTGTCCGCCACTTGTCTGCGGACAAGCTGTCCCCCTGTGCTGTTCCTTGCGTCTTCCTTGGCTTCCCCCCTAACGCACCAGGCTGGCAGTTCTACCACCCCACCTCGGACCGTGTTCTGTCCTCTTCGGACATCACGTTTGATGAGTCGGTTCCCTACTACCGTCTCTTCCCCTACCGCACTGCGTTCCCCCCCCCCGCCGACGCTCTTCCTCGTGCTAGGTCCCCCCCCGGTAGACCCCCTTCCCCCTCAGGGCCCTGCCCCCTTAGGTGTGTCCCAGGTACACGCAGTCGAGCTTGTTGAGGTAGCTGTTGACTCTGGTGCTGCTAGGGGTACTGAGCATGCGCGTGCGGGGTCTGGGGGTGCTGAGCGTGGGGGTGCTGAGACTGGGGATGCTGAGCCTGGTGGTGCGGAGTGTGGGGGTGCTGCGCCTACTCGTGTGGCGTCTGGCAGGACTGGGTCTAGAGGTCCTTCGGGTGCTTCGTCCCGGCACGAGCTACTCTCTCCACAAGAGCTGCGCGAGTGGTTTGCTCAGCGCTGGAGCCGTGCTGCTGGAGCTTGAGGTGCTGCTGGTGTTGGAGGTTCTACTGCTGCTGAGGGTACTGGTGCCGCGGGTCCCAGGGTTGCTCGTCCTGAGGGTTCTGGAGCTGCTGGGCTTGCGGGTGCTCCTGGTACTGGAGCTGGTGGTGCTGCTGGCGTAGGTGCTGCTGGTGCTGCTGGAGCTGGAGCTGCTGCGTCTTCTGGTGGTCCGGATGGAGCTGGAGCTGCTGGGGGTGTTGGCGCTGGAGGTGCTGCTGGTGCTGGTGCTTCTGAGGGTGCTGGAGGTGCTAGAGTTGGCGCTGCTGGAGCTGGGGTTGCTACTGGTGCTGGTGCTGCTGTTGAGGGTGCTGGTGCTGTTTGTGCTGGTTCCGGTGGAGTTGCGCGGCCGCGGCCGTACTTCGTTCCGCTCCTTGAGCAGGTTCTTGGTCTTCCGCCCTCTACTGGTCCTGCTCCTCCCTTAGAGTGTCCACAGCCTGTCCAGTCCGAGTCACAGTTACAGCCAGCCTCCCCATTGCCTGCTCCTTCTCCCTACGCTGGTCCTATTGGAGGTCTTACTGAGCGTCGTGAGCCTGCGTCTCGTCCTGCATCGCCTGTCCGTGCTGCTCGCACTAGTAGTCGTGGTTCGCGTCAGCGTCCTCCCCCTGTCCCTGGCACGCATCGGATGTCTCTGCGTCCTTCCATTGCTCCGCTGCGTGCTCCTTTACCTTCTCCTCCTGAGTCCTCTCTTCCTGTTCTTACTGACCCGGAGTCGGACTCCCTTCGTGCTGCCAGTCCTACTGTCACGCGTCTCCTTGCTACTGCCGTCACTGACCCTTCCTTTGAGTCCGCTGCTGCGTCTGCCTTGGTTTCTGAGCTTGTCGAATTCGCTGCTCGCTGTCGTCTAGACTACGCTGCTAGTCTTGTTGCTGAGTCTGAGTCTGTCTGTCCTCCGTCCGTCAAGGGTGAGTGTGCCCTTGGCATGGACGTCCTTGAGTGTCAGAATGTTTTTTTACACATCACTTTATAACTGCCTGCTATGTAGACTTAGTGTAGTTATCTTACTTGTTAGGTGGTGCACCTTGCTTCACTTCTTTCATATTTGTACCCTTGAACCTATAGTGAAACCATCATTCTCTCACACAACTATCTCGACACTATTTCCTCACCCTCGAACTTCACCACTAAGTAACCTAAACCCATGGCTCCTAAGCCTACTAAACTTTAGTATTTAAACATTGAGGACAGGCAGGAGGAGTTCCAGTGCTTTGCTGCTGCTTCACCTCATCTCGTGTCCACGCTGCTTGCCCCTGAGGGAGGCCCGGATGCACCAGACATCCCGACTCCGCGCTCTTACGCAAAGGCAATAGAGGGTCCCTACTCCTCTCAGTGGCAGGCAGCCATGGACGCAGAGATGGCTTCCTGGAAGTCCACATGCACCTACGTCGACGAGGTTCCCCCTCCTGGGGCGAACATCGTCAGTGGCATGTGGATTTTCATGGTGAAGCGGCCGCCGGGTTCTCCGCCTGTCTTCAAGGCGCGTTACGTGGTTCGAGGCTTCAGACAGCGGCAGGGAGTTGACTACTTTCAGACCTTCTCTCCCACCCCGAAGATAACCACTCTTCGGGTACTGCTGCACATAGCTGCTCAGCGCAACTACGAGCTTCACTCTCTTGACTTCAGCACTGCTTTCCTACAGGGCAGCCTGCACGAGGAGATCTGGCTGCGCCGCCCACCTGGCTTCACTGGGTCGTTTCCTCCTGGTACCCACTGCACATCACCCGGGACAGAGCACAGCGCACCATTACCCTTACTCAGTCACACATGGTGCAGCAGGTCCTTCAGCGCTTTGGCTTCAGGTACTCCTCGCCTCAGGCCACTCCTCTGTCTACTCGCCACTCGCTCTCAGCTCTGCCTTCGGATGAGTCCGTAGAGCCGAGTGGCCCGTACCCAGAGCTTGTTGGCTGCCTCATGTACCTGATGACCTGCACTCGACCTGACCTTGCATACCCTCTTAGCATCTTGGCACGCTATGTTGCTCCTGGGAGACACCGACCAGAGCACATGGCTGCAGCGAAGAGGGTGTTGCGCTACCTGTGCAGTACGTCGGGCATGAGGCTAGTGCTTGGAGGGCGGAGTCCAGTGGTCCTCACTGGTCACGCAGACGCGTCTTGGGTTGAGGACTTGGCTACGCAGCGGTCGTCACAGGGTTACACCTTCAGCCTTGGTTCCGAATCTATTTCGTGGCGGTCTACCCGCTCGTCTTCTGTTCTCAGCTCCAGCTGTGAGGCTGCGATCTACACAGGGGCCATGTCTGCACAAGAGTTACGCTGGCTCACCTACCTGCAGACTGACCTAGGAGAGCTGCCTCATTCTCCTCTAGTTCTGTACGTAGACAACAAGGCCATGTTGGCCTTGTGTCGGGAGCACAGACTGGAGCACAGAATGAAGCACATTGCTCTTCGCTACTTCCTTGCTCGTGAGCTGCAGCAGCGTGGTCAGCTGCGACTTGCTTACGTAGCCTCTCAGGCCAACACTGCTGATATCTTCACCAAGGCACTCGCGCCTTGTGATCATCAGCGCTTCTGTACTCTGTTAGGTCTTGTACCTACTCTGCCTCACTTGCTCACTTCTTGACCTTGCTTGTACTGTACCTTATAGATACTTGCACTTGCATGCTTAGCTTTATATATGTACCTTATAGATACTTGCACTTGCATGCTTAGCTTTATATATATACCTGCCTGTGAACTGGCCTTGTGGCCCTTGAACTTGTGCTCGGAATGTGTGGTGACGTTGTGATCCACCCTGAGCTTGCTATGCTTTACTTGACTGGTCCTTTGACCCCTTGTTCTCCCCCACTTTGCCTTTGGGGGTGTGTCAAACTTATATACTATAGTCTTTCTAGGCTGTAGTGGGGTAGACTGTATGGGGTACAGTTCTCTAGGGTTTCATATTTGTACCCAACTCATTTTCTAGTTCATCATTCATTCCTCATTTCTTCACAGGGTGTCAATGAGAACAACGATGTCAATATTTATTCCGAAGAAGTTAAGCCACCCTTTCTGGGCATTCATTTTAAAAGGGGAGTTTAGACCATTAATGTTTATGCATACTATCCTAAGATGTGTTATCATGATACAAAGTGCAGAGCCCATCGCGCACAAAGGTGAGCGAATCCACGGGCTGATACGTAGAGTGAAAGTTGGGTAAACATATTTAAATCGCAAAAGTTGCATAGGTGAATCATGTAACAAGTTGAAAAGACTCTTATCCTCTTAATAAGTATGGCAAGGTGGTAGCAAACACACAATGTTACAGCCACAAAAGGATTTCTCAATAATCGTTCCTGAATTGGGCAAGAAAGCTGCGAATCGGCTTTTCGGCAACGAAGGTCATAGCCTTTCAACCAGTGTATGTCTCCTTTGCAGCACAAGTGCGGGCTGCCATGCGTTTCATGGATGAGCGCTGCTCGGAGGAGATGTGTGCAAGAGCAGAATCCAGCGCAGCCCCGCAGGTCAGGTCGCACAGAGCACAAGTCCACGGCTCGATGTATGAGTCGAGGCTGATAAAAAGCAGTCCAGGGTCGTTGCGAAACGCAGTAAGTGCGGCACAGGTGCCGAGGGCCTGGCCTGGAGGCAAGGGAGGGCGTAGCGTAGGGTGCAAGGTGGAGGGGAGGAAAAGGTAGGGTGGGAGGAAGGAGAGAGTTGCACATGCAGCGTGGGAGCAGAAAAACATGGCTCAGAAGGCAGGGCAGGAGTCGAAGGTAGGAGGGCAGGGAAGGAAGGGGTGGGGAGTGAGGCTGGAGGGTACAGCTGGAGTGGGGCATGAATCCGCAGCATGGCCTGGAGGGGAAATAGGACAGAAAGAGAGGTAGGGAGGGCAAAACCCGGGTTAAGAGAGCAAAGGGGGGTTGGGACCAGAGACGGGAGCAGGGCGCTATGGTCATGCGAAATGGGAGCCATGTGCCTGATATGAGAGGAGCGTTGGGCAGCAATTGGGGGGGGGGGGGGTAGCATAAGGGAGGGGGTGGGGGTGGGGGGCTTAAGGCGCGAATGCGAAGCAAAAGGCTAGAGAGGGTGACAGGGTGAAGAAGAAGGTAGGGAAAGCAGGGAGGGTGGGGGCGGGGTGGGGGAGTGGGCGGCACCATTGGTTTGGCAGCACCACCCCAAACTTGGCTGTAGGGGAAGGGGGGGGTGAAATCGAGGAAAGGGGGGCTGAAAGGGTAAGTGTAGGATTTGGGCGATGAGGGGGCTGCAGACGTGGTGCCAGCACCAAGAGCCAATCCGAAGGGGAGAGCCAGTCGAAAATTGGGGGGGGAATGACGGGGAGGGAGCAGGCAACGAGGGGGTACGGGGAGCGTGACTAGCATTGCACCAGAGCTTAATGCCGGGCCGAAGAGGAGAAGACCAAAAACGGGAAAGTGGGCAGCTGGGGGGGAGACACAAGGAGGGGGAGAGTGTCGAACTGAAAGCAAGGCGCGGAAGCCAGAGGTCTGGCTAGAGGGAAGACGAAGGCAGAACTTGGGGTAGGGAGGATGAGGAGGATGTGGGCAGGGTGGGAGTTATGGGCATCCTGCGAGCGCAGTTTCTAGGCCAACGCTTAGGCCAGAGCAGGGTGGCGGTGGGGAAGGCATTACAGGAGCGGTGGGAGGGACATGGATGTGCCCGGGGCAGGGAGAGCAGCAGAGCACAAAGAAGTGAAGACTGGGAGGACTGGGGCGGGGAGGGGGGTAGGGAGATGGTTGTATGATAGATGCAAGAGCATATGGGCAGCTAGATGTAGTGCAAACAGTGCAGAACTGACAAAAAAAGCCAAGAGGCAGAGGGAGAGAGCATGAGCAAGGGGAGAGACAAGCAGAAACAGAGGTTAGGAATGGCAAACTCACTATTGGCCTGCTGCAGCTGAGCAATAGAGATCTGTTGTTTGTTTGTCAGGTGCCCCCTGCACCTGGTGGGGAAAAGTGCGTGATCCGCAACACGGTGATTATTGCCGCAGATAGAGCAAGCGTGCAAGGAGATGTTGAGCAGAACCTCGGGGGCGTCATCTTCGAAGGCAATACTTGCAGGGAGACGAAGGTACCCGGGGTCATCTTCCAGGGGGACAGGGATGCCGGTGAAAATTGGGAGGAACATGTCCTCGTACGTATCTTTAACCTGGTGGAAAAAAATAAGATCGGCAAGCCAGGCAGGCTCGCCGTTAATGTCATGGTGCATCAAGTAGGTACGGAGGTCTTCCGGGGAGTAGCCCGGCGGGACGTTGCGGAGGGTGAGGGTGGCAGCTCCACCCGCCTTTGCGGAGGTGAAGAGTGGATAAGGGTCCACAAAAGCTTTTAGCAGCACCGAACGAGCATTGGGGAGGTGCAGGGTGAGCGGGAAGAGTTCCTTAAAGTCATCGGCGTCATCCTGTGAGGTCCAAGAGAAGCAAAGGCGCGCATAAGCGCATCTGGGGATGCGGAGAACATCACCAGAGGAGGGCTGAAATTTGGGTATGTCGTTGGAGCGGAAATGGAAAGGCTGCAGGTGCTTCAAAATGCGCGTGATCAGATCAGCCCGGATTGCCTCTGCACCCGCCTCGGGGAAGAGCACCTCAACCACAGAAAGACTCCGGCGGGGCATAACGCGGGTCACCATCGCGGCACGCTGGCGGCGAAGGGAGCGCGGGATAGCGGGGGTGTCATCATGATCCATCTGATCTCCAAGATCGCCACTGGCGGCAGCAGGAGCGAGGGGGCGTGACGATTCTGCTGTAGACGAGGAGGCAGCCGGGGTAGCAGCGGGAGCTGCCTGTGCGGGTGTGAAAGGGGGGCCTCTGGGAAGGGGAGCAGCCGCCGAAATAGGTGCGGGTGGGGTAGTAGATGCGTGGTGCGCCGTTGCACGGGAGATTGGTGCGTAGAGCGCGGAAGAAGGGGGACCGTGGGCGCACGCGCTGGTAGCACCTTCGGTGCAAAGTTTCTTGTGGGCGGGAGCGTCATCGTTAGCAGGGGCGCTCGGGAGCGTGCCGTCGGGGAGATCGTTGAGCTGTAGCCCTTCGGTGTCAAGCTGTAGGTCAGCGTCGACAAGAGTCATCTCATCATCTGTGTTGTGGAGCTGGGAAGCCATGGAAAAGAGATGACGAGGGAAGTACTTGGCAGAAAGCAGGAGAGAGGGGCGATGTGAAGGAGGGTAGGAGGGGCGGTTTAAATACTCGGCAGCCAGGGAGAGTGAGGCTCTTCCAAGGCATTGTAAGTAGGGCGCGAGAGAGCGGGTGCATGGGTAGCGGCCATTGCAATCCCGAGGTGACTGGGTGCTTAGGTGGCAGCCCGAGTCAGGAATACAGTTAGCATAGAAAGTTCTGGAAGTGGCATTAGTGACAATCACAGGCTGGCCCTTTACAGCCTGCCAGAGGGTAGAAGCCATGAAGAGGTGACCAAGTGGAGGGCGGCATACAGATAGTCTGGGGACAGCAAAAATGACGCGCGAGGAAAGGGAGTTTGATGCACAACAAAGGAAAATGCTTGCAGCGCAGGGTGGGAGACTGAGAAAAAAGAAATTGGGGTGAATACAAAAGAAACAAGCATGGGAAGGAAGTTCAACGGACATAAGAGGTGGAGTGGGCAGTTGGAATCGAAGCTGCGGAGCGTGAGTGGTCGCCATCGAAGGAACGCACAATGGTAATGTATGTGGCCTGAAGCTCACAGAAAGGAGGGGGAAAGCAGATTGCAGAAGAGATTGTGACGTGTGAGACCCAGCTGCGCGAGGAGAAGGTCGCAAAAACGCCCAGCAGAGGAAAGGTGGTGCACCACGAACTGAAATATTGAGCCTGTACGCAAGGGGATCTAGCTCGGTTAGCACTGGCATAGAGCCGAAGTTGGGGGGTTGGCGATCAGAAGGAGAAGGTGGGGGGAGAACCAGGAGAAGCGAAAAGAGGAGTCCTGGCGCCAAACAGTAGCACGGGGGAGGGCGTTCAGTTAGATGGGGGGGTTGCAATAGGAGAGAGCGGAAAAACAAGGAGGATCTGGGGCAGCAGAGCACAACAGAAGCGGCAGATATGGAATATCAGCCAGAGGCAAAAAACGGTAAAAAGAAAACATGAACTAAGAAAAGGATTGCAGGGCAAGCGTGTAGAAAAGTGTTAAAGCAGCGGTATACATTTGGCGATACTGTTTGTTTTGTACAGTGATGAAACACCATTTCGCCCAGACGAAAAAAAACGGGGGGGAGCGAGAGTGTTGGCAAAAACAAGATGCTCTTGTGTTGTGAGGGAACCAGAGTGGGGTTGGTTGTGAGTCACAATGCGATGAAATGCCCTCGCCACCGAACTCACCACTCACTCTCGCACACTAGGGAACATAAGCGGCTAATACCTACCCCAGAAAGAGACGACCACGCCGCGCGCTAGAAGGTGCTACGCCAGCAGCGCGACCAGACCACACACGAACTGGCGCGTGGTTTAGGCACGAAAATAAATAGCCGAAACGACAAAACAACTAGCAAAATTGCGCACCTCCAGCAGCCTGTGCAGTAACTGTTTTGCGCTCACCTCTAGCCTCGCACGCGCCCCAACATTCCGCTCGATCCAGCGCAGCGCGCTCCAACATGGCGAGCTCAGCATAGCACCGCACGCAAGCAAAACGCGCGCAGCAAGGGCGCTCGTAATATTCATAGGGCGCCCGTGTACCAATGACGAATCGTATTCTCCAAGGGGACAGACCGGCTTCGCGCATATAAGAAGAGGTGGGAGCTACGTCACGTGCCCCCAAACGCATCCGCGTTGTCGCATACCGGGTGTATTCCCCATTCCGCATTCCCCATTCCGCATGGCTCATTCCGCATTCCCCATTTCGCATTCCCCATTCCACATTCCCCATTCCGCATTCCCCCTGCCGCATTCCCCGTTCCCCATTCTCCCAGCCGCATTCCCCCTTCCGCATTCCCCCTTCCGCGTACCCCCTTACGTGTTCCCCCTTCCTTGTTCCCCCTTCCTCGTTCCCCCCTCCGCGTTCCCCCTTCAGCGTGCCCCCTTCCGCGCCCCCCCTTCCGCGTTCCCCCTTCCGTGTTCCCCCTTCCGCCTTCCCCCTTCTGCGCTCCCCGTTCCGCCTTCCCCATTCCGCCTTCCCCCTTCCCCCTTCCCCCTTCCGCCTTCCGCCGTCCGCCTGCGGCCTTCCGCAATCACCCTTCCGCATTCCCCCTTCCGCATACCCCTTTCCGCATTCCCCCTTTCGCATAGCCCCGTCCGCCTTCCCCCTTCCGCCTCCCCCCATCCGCCCTCCCCTTTCCGCCTTCCCCCTTCCGCATCCCCCCTTCCGCCTTCCCCTTTTCGCATTCCCCCTTCCGCATTCCCCCTTCCGCATGATAGCTTCCGCATTCCCCCTTCCGCATGATAGCTTCCGCATTCCCCCTTCCGCATGATAGCTTCCGCATTCCCCCTTCCACATGATAGCTTCCGCATTCCCCCTTCCGCATGATAGCTTCCGCATTCCCCCTTCCACATGATAGCTTCCGCATTCCCCCTTCCGCATGATAGCTTCCGCATTCCCCCTTCCCCATGATAGCTTCCGCATTCCCCCTTCCGCATGATAGCTTCCGCATTCCCCCTTCCGCATGATAGCTTCCGCATTCCCCCTTCCGCATGATAGCTTCCGCATTCCCCCTTCCGCATGATAGCTTCCGCATTCCCCCTTCCACATGATAGCTTCCGCATTCCCCCTTCCGCATTCCCACGTCGTACCCCCCATGCCTCATGTTTCCCCCCAACCTATTCCCATGTGCCCCCCCTTCTGGTGGCCCCATGTTTCATGCGGCCACTATCCCCATGATTCCCCCTGCGGGCCCCATGAATCCCCCTGCGGGCCCCCTGTTTCCCCCGAGCGCACACGTCCATATTCCCCCCAAGCTAGCCCAATCATTCCCCTATGTTAGCCCCATGTTTCCCCCTGCAGGCCCCATGTTTCACCCCGCAGGCCCCATGTTTCCCCCTGCAGGCCCCATATTTCCCCCTGCAGCCCCCATGTTTCTTTGTGCAGGCCCCATATTTCCGAAGGCAGGCCCCCTGTTCCACCCATGCGAGACCCATTTCTCCCCCCTGATAGCCCCATATTCCCCCCGTGATAGCCCCATCTTTCCCCCATGCTAGCCTCATGTTTCCAAGGCTGGGTTATGAGTGCATCGCTGCTCACAGCATTATGGGGAGTGCTCATCAACAAACGAACCTCTCAGCCCGCATACTCTTACTCACCTTCGCTTGTCACATCCTCTTTTCCCACCCTAACATTCCCTTCCAAAGCGCCAAGGTGAGTGCATTGCTGCTCACAGCAACGTGAGGAGTGCTTGCCAGCAAAGGAACCTCCCTTTCAGAACACTCTTACTCACCTTTGGGACTCACATCCTCTTTTCCCTCCCTCCCCTTCCCTTCCAAGGTTGGGTGGTGAGTGCATCGCTGCTCACAGCAGCGTGTGGAGTGCACGCTAGCGAAGGATCCTCCCTTTCATAACACTCTTGCGCACATTCGCATGGCACATCCTCTATTCCCTCACTCTCCTTCCCTTCCAAGGTTGGAAGTTGAGTGCTTCGCTGCTCAGTGGGTCGTACTGATGAGGAGGATGAAGATGAGGAAGGAGAGAGGCGACGGGGGGATAGCAGGACTGCTATCCCCCCGTCGCCCCACTCTCCACACACAGCAGCGTGCGGAGTGCACACCAGCTCACACACTCTTATTCGCCTTTCCTTGCCACATCCTCTATTCCCTCCGTCCCCCACCCTTCCCAGACTGGGCGGTGAGTGCATCCCGCCCCACATTAGCGTGTGACGCGCTTAGATCCAACCGGCTTGCCAACCGGGGCCGCTCAATCGCCAGGGGGCTCTCGACCATTCGGCCATCTGTCTCGCCATTCTGGTCGCAATCCTCGCCGGTCTGCCCCTTACTGCCAACCCCGCCTGGTGGGTGCATTGCACGCCGCACAGGTGACTTCACCTGTTGACTCAAAAGTCGCCCCCTGGGTGCCTTGCTGTGCATGCCCTGATAGCATGTGACTCGACCCAAAAACGACCTTCCTGAATGGACTCCCCACTCCTCACATCCATGCCTATATGCTCGCCCCGTTTCCCCCCCCCCCCCCATGCTAGCGTCATGTTACCCCCCAAGCTTTGCTCCCATGATTCCCCCAAGCTAAACCCATGACTCCCCCAAGCTATAACCAGGATTCCCCCCATCTATCCCCATGATTCCCCCAAGCTATCCCCATGATTCCCCCACGCTATCCCCATGGTTCCCCCACGCTATCCCCATGGTTCACTCTGCAGGCCCCTTTCTTTCCAACTACAGACCTCGTGTGTCCCCCTGCAGGCCCCACGCTTCCCCCTTGCACTCACGTTCAAAATTTACGCCTCGCTATCCCCATGTTTCCCCCTTGCTGGCCCCATTTTACCCCCCATGCGGTGGGCTCGCCTCATCCCATGGGCGGGCCCACCGCCATCAAAGGGGCAGGCCACCCTCTCCCATGCGGTGGGCTCGCCCCATTGAATACTTGAAATGCATAGGTTGTTAATAAATCATTTGTGTGCATGGTGTGCAGAATGGGTCGTCCGAGAAAGGTCTTCTCCGCAACATGGAGATCAAGGGTAAAAGAGATTGTAAAGGGCATAGACCAGGCCAGCCTCGCGATATCAAAGACGATGCAAATTCCAGTTTGCTACTTGCGGTGTGGTCTGAGCTCGCTGATGGGCGAGGGTCGAGCCGCGACAATGTCATGTGTACTTCCTTTTGCACGCTGGAGCAAGGGCAAAAGATGCTCTCATGATGGCAGCAAAAAAAGCTGGTGAGTGTAGTATTTCAATGCCCATGGTTTTTTTTAAGTTTGAGCAAATGAACCCAACTCCTTTCTGTACTAGGGGAACGCATGTTGCCGACACTCTTACGTTGAAACCACAATTGGTCAGGAGCGGACGGTGACGAGGCTCAAGGGAGAGTGGACAAGTATTTGGTGAGGTTTTCTGAAAATTTTCAAGGAGGACGTGATCGTGCAGTTGGTCGACCCGAAGCGTTGATGGAAGGGCGACCTATCGCAATAGGATGCCTGGTTTATGCGTTCCCTGCACTTCAGGGGAAACGTCCTGCGCGCACAGGGGGCGGGGCGACGGTTGATGGAGGGACGGGAGCCTCCCACGATTCGCCAGATGCAAATCAGCCACTGAATTGTATGTGTGCGCTATCTAGTATAGCAAGTTTTGAGGGGCGCATGTGGGAGTGCCTCCAATAACACATTTCTATCAATAATGTCAATTTTGGAACCAACAGATGACCCGAATGACGTCTCACCATCATGGGATGTTGGCGACGGCGTTGGTGATGGGTGCATGGAGCAGCGGGAGGTGGTGATCGACATAGATCCGCGTGACCCTCCCCAAGGAGGCGATGTCTCTGTCACGGTGGATTCTGAATGTGGAGGCCTGAGTGGATTGCCGGCAGGAGACACGGATGTGGATACGACAGACAATGCCGATCCACACACCCATGGGGGGTAAGTTTTTATACGGCCTTGTAGGCTCGCCTTATTGCACTTCCCGTCCCCTATTATCGTGCCTTCTTTTATCCATCCATGTGCGAGCATCTAACCGCTCCAATGATATCCACAATTACACGCTCATCTATTTTGCCGGAAACCCGGTCGTTCATGTGTGTAAATCATTGTTAAATGCATGGTGATAACCCATTCGTGCAAGACCGCACACTTTCAAGACAGTTACTCCGAGCCCAGGGTCGGACGCTGGCCTGCTCAACCAGCCCTCACTGAGCTTCGTGATGTCGTATGCCTGCTGAACCCGATCCACCTCATTCGGTTTTTCATGGTTATGACTTCATTGCACTGCGAGTGGAGGTTGTGGTGGATCCATGAAGCTGCGCTCTTGGAAGCGGGTGTGGGCTGTTCTCGGACTAGTGTGGACGTGCGATAGGTGTGGAAAGTCTGTGTCCGTCTGGTCTGTCGATCGCAAGCCACCACCGAGCGCAGCAAACAAGCCTGGCCGGAAAAGCTTGCCGATGCTGCAACGGTTCCTCGCGTCTTTCGCACTTGCAGATTTCGGTTACCAAGCTCTGTCAGAGGTAGGCCGGAACTTGGGAGTGCCAATCCTGTGTAAGAAAACGTTTTACAAGCACATGAGTGGGGCGGGTGGTCTGTGGGAGAAGATCATTTCTCATGCTACAAGGTGTATGGAAAAGGTGTGTGAGTGCATGCTAGTTCGTAAGGAGAGCGGTTATTGGATTTGCGTGGATGGTAGGTGGGGTCAGGTACGAGAGGCCGAGTGGTGCAGTGTCACATTTATGGATCATTTCACGCGTAGGATTATACACTGTGTGACACTACCCAAGACCGAAGAAGGTGTGTCGTCGACGCAACTAGAGAAAAGGGCTTTTGACAGAGGGTTAGAAGACTTCAGAAAGTGGGGGGTTATTGTGAAAGGTATAATTTGTGACGAGGGGACGAGCTTCAAGGTTGGTATTCTTGGTACGGACATTGAGCATCAGATGGACGTATGGCACAAAGGTCGTTCGTTGCCACGAAAGTATGTCAAGTTTTTCGTGGATGCCCGCAAGGACACGATCAGTGCCATTAGGGCAAAGACCATTGAAGATTGGTGGAATGTCAAGCCGGATGATATGCGTACCTGGTTGAAAGTTCATGGAGGTTCAAGTCTCAAAGGTATAAACAAAAAAACGCCCATAATAAAACTAATAAAGGAAGTGTATCGTGTGCGTGGTATACAGTACATGGATTTGTCTAAGGATAATTCGCCGTGGAAGTACCGTGAGATGCGACGAGTTGCACATATACGTCGCAGACACAGCGAAGGCATGGCGGCCACATCGTCAGCCTCCCGCACGACTTGTCCCGACGGGTCGTGCACAGAGGGCGGAGAGAGGGTGGCGAGAGTTGACATTCCAATCACTCAGTCGAATGAAGAGAGCAGGGGCAAGTATGATGCAGCGGCAGAGAGCTTTCTCACGCGTGAGAGCTGTTCCGAATTTGTTGCTATTGACATTTTGGAGGAGGGAGCCACGGAGACTGTAGTCGACCCCGGGCGGATAGATTTGCACTATTCGGATGTTAGAGAGCCCTGGGGATACGATCCACATCCCGAGCATGGAGTGCGGCCTTGCTCGGTGGCATCTTTCTTCATCATGCAGGCCTCTGCGGCGCGCCACGCCGACGCGACTCGTGGCATGGTGGCCGCCGAACCGAGGCACAGATCCAGTGTTGACGAGACAGGTGTGATTTTCACTTTGCAATGGTGTCCGCAATGCTATTCCATCCAAGTTGTGGCACATATGATCCATTAGCACATTTGCACGTGCGTCTCCAAAGAGCAACTTGTTGACAAAACACCCTTGCATTGTTATGCCCTCCCACCAGGTACAAATGGGGTAAGCGCAACTGTTGGAGCAGGGGGGGGGCGAGGGACCGCGGAGCACGCACGACGCTGGGTGGATAGGCGCTCTCGTGGCGGGAAGAGGAGTGGGGCGGGCGTCGCAGTGCAAGAGGAGGTTATGGAGGATCCGGATGAGCTGATCGAGGAGGTGACAGTGGCGCAAAGGTTCAGTGTACACTTTCATCATGTGATGGCACGATGCGCGTTACGCTGGAAACAGGGAGTGCCAATGACTGCTAAGGATGTGGCTGGTGAGATTGGGAGTGCAGCTGATCATTGGGCTGGGGACCATTCGCACTGTGGTGGTTGCACA